CCCTGCCCCCATGGGGGAGGGGTTTATGGGGGGGGGGGCTGTCTCAGCCCCCCCAGGGCCAGATGAGTTTACAGGGGGTGGCATGTGGGAGATACTGTTGCAAGTCGCTGCCACTGCTCCATGTCTTGGCTGCTTTCTCTACCTCTGCCCCTCAGATCCGCACCCTGTGCTATGGCTGCCAGCTGGCTGGGGGGGTCCTGGCCCGGAAAGGCCCCACGGAGTCAGAGATGGGCAGGAGGCTCTTGGCTGTGTCGACCCAGCTGAGTCACTGCCGGACGGTGCTGCGCCTCTTTGATGACCTTGCCATGCTCGCCTATAGCTGCCAGTATGGGCTGGGTGCCAAGGTAACCAGCCCGCTTCTGCCCCAGCCCTCAGGTATGGGTGCCTGAACCACACACCACCACAGGAGGAGCAGGCCTGTCCACCTTCTCCCCTGGTACTAAAACAGGCAGACCTGCCCCTCACTTGTAAGGATCACTTTGTAAACATAGAGCTATCTCATTAGCCATCTTCAGCGCTCTCCTTAAAACTCTTCTCTAGCATCTTCTTTGCCCTTAGCTCCTATGGGAGCATAGGCCATCAACAATTTCTTTCCAAGCCTCTCTCTTCTCTGGCATGCTGCTTACAAAACACTTGCCAGCAATTAGTTCACTGGAGAGATGAATAAGACTGGGACTCTTCAGTTTGGAAAATAGATGACTAAGGGAGGATATGATTGAGGTCTACAAAATCATGCCTAGAGTAGCGAAAGTAGATAAGGATGTGCTATTTACTCCTCATAAAAAAAAACCACCTTAGGTGTAACCAAATTAAATTAATAGGTAGCAGGTTTAAAACAAACAAAAGGAGGTACTTTTTTCATGCAACACATAGCCAACCTGTGGAACTCCTTGCTAGAAGATGTTGTGAAGGCTAAGAGGGTTCAAAAAAGAGCTAAATAAATTCATGGAGGATAGGTCCATCAATGGCTATTAGCCTGGATGTGCAGGGATGGTATCCCAAGCCTCTGTTTGCCAGAAGCTGGAAATGAGAGACAGAAGAAGGATCACTTGATTACCTGTTCTGTTCATTCCTTCTGAGGCACCTGACATTGACCACTGTCAGAAGGCAGAATACTGGGTTAGACAGTCCTTTGGTCTGACCCAGAATGGCCATTCTTATGTTCTGACACCTCTCTCTCTCATATTGACCAATGTCTCATTTTTTCCTTGTCAGCTGTCTCTAGCTAACGATGCTTATCAGAATCTTAGAATGTAAGCTCCTTGGGGCAAGCACGTTTTTGTTCTGTCTCTACAGTGCCCTCCAGAATATACATGATAACAATGGCAGCCTCCAGGGCTCTCATTCCCTAAGTTTCCCATCAGCTTAAAACATATTTTAAAAAAACAACAATAAAAATTGGGGTGAGAGCAAAAAACTTGCTGACCTTTGTGGAAGCTCCTACAGAGATGTCCCATGCTGAGTTCAACTGAGCATCCTTACTGGATATGTATGCATCAGAAACCGTATGCAAGATCACTGCCACAAGCTGGGAATAAAATACAGGATATGTTAGTGATGTGCTTTGTTTTCATTCTCTGTCCTTAGGAAAAGGCTAAGCATCTCAGAGCTGCAAGGAAGCTGGATTAGCCACACTGTAGTGTCCAGTCTAACCTGTGATGTTTATGCAAGAAAGCAACCAGTGTTAAGTTCTTGTCTGTCTCTGTGCTACAGGAAAAAGATGCCATTGTCCGCTGGCTCTCTGTCCTCAATAACCTGGCTGATCAGCTCTACTACCCTTGTGAGCATGTAGCATGGGCTGCTGATGCTGATATTATTCGCACAAGCTCACACAAGTGGTGGACATTAAGCACAGCTTTCTGGGGGCTCTCCCTAGTCCTGGGCATCATACGGTAATGTTCACTAGATGCAGCTCTTAAAAGGGCATAAGGGGAATACTCTCTCTGCTTCTGGAGCCTGGCAGAAAGGCTTACTGGGGCCTTTCTTAGAGGCTTCTGGCTGCTCCTGGGAGCTGGGCAATGATAGCACACTGGTTTTCGATTATCTGCTAACTCCGTTGTTACTGTTCTGGAGTTCTAGCTCCTCCTGAGAATCAGAAACCTTGGCATCCATCTTCGTAAAGGACTGTAGATGTATGGATTTGTAACAGGCATCTAGAAACTAAGAGGGTGCTGAGTGATCCTAAAATACAGTGCTAAAAATGGTGCTAGCTGATAATCACCTCTAATGACTTACCAATATCCTATTACAGTATTGCTAAATAATCACAAGTCTTTTCTAGTCCCAATACAGCCCCACCCCACAGGATGAACAAATAAATATCTTCCATACCTCCACATATTCCTCCTGTAGTAGGGGAAAAGGGAAACAGAAATTTGCCAGGTTGAGCTAAAGCTGTGCCTTAAAAGATGACCTGCAAAATTGGGGGGGGCGGGAAATAAATGGGACTGAGACACTTCTTTGGGGGCTGCCTTATAATGAGTGAAGTCCTCAAAGATTTTAAGTTTTCTTCATCTTCTGTTTTATACTAGAAATTCAGTTCTTGTCTGTGTTTGTGGGGTTTTTTTGGTTTGTTTTTTGTTTTAATCAAGGCTGAGCTGACACTTCTGCTGTTTCTGAAGTAAAAAAAAATAAGTAGAATTGCCCTGCCTCCTCTTCTTATAATAAAACCCTTTCAAATGGCTTTCTTTTTTCTCTGACACCTAAAGGGCGCACATCCTTCCAGCCACATCCAGTTTGTAGTCTCCTTTAAGTGAGCTGTTTCATAGTTATACTGTTTCTCCCATCTAATGAAGCAGCAAATGTGGAAAACAGTTCAGTTTCCAACATGAACAAATGAGGCCAACTGGGAAAATAAGGAAATCCTGAAGTTAGAGCCTGCCCTTCTGTTAGCCAGATGTTTAGCTTGTGAAAACGATTCAGTTATAAAACAAATTGAATTCTTACTCTAAAATTTTCTCAAGCTAGTTTTGCCCCATTTTCCTTTTTTCATCCTGCTTTAAGTGAATCCTCTGTGTTTAAGAATGAGTTAACTTTCTGCTGTCACCACTTAAGAAAGTGTTCTTGGTGTCATGGATAGTTCTTTAAAAACATCTGTTTTAATGTGTAACAGCAGTCAAAGAAGATTGCAGAATGTTTAGGAGCCATTAGGAAAGGGGTAGATAATAAGATGGAAACTATAATTCCGCTTAATAAATCCATGGTACACCTGCATCCTGAATACTATATGCAGATCTGGTCGCCCCATTTCCAAAAAATACATATTACAATTAGAAAAAGTACAGGGATGGGCATCAGAAATTATTAAGGGTATGAAACAGCTTCCCTATGAGGAAAGATTAAAAAGACTGGGACTGTTCAGCTTGGAAGAGACAACAAAATAGGGATGCTAAATATAATCAACTAATCAATTAGTGGACAAGCAGGGGACCAGCAGTGGGGTTTGCTCCTGGTCCTGGCAGCTAACCCTGCTGTGGCTCTGCCAAAGGCTCTTAATACTTTTAAAGAGCTAAAGGGCAGCAGGAGGGAACTGGCGTGAATTGGGAATCAGCTGGCCCAGCTCTCGCTGGGTCCCCACCACTGCACTTCTGATTTTTAAATGTATTCAGTGCCTAACTCTTAATACATTTTAAAAGAAGAGTCACAGCATCTGGGACTGTGTGAGAGTCAGGAATCAGCTGATTCCCAACTCGCACCCGGTCCCTGCTACTCCCTTTTGTGGAGATGGGGCTGGGGGGAACTGGCTTTTAAGCCAGCTCCCCCCAGCACCGACTCTTGCTCGGCAGCAAGGCAGGGGGGAAGCAACTAGTTGAGGAACTAGACAACTAGTCACTTCTATCCCTACAACAGAGGGTGGGATATGATAGAGGTCTATCACATTGTGAATGGTGTAGGAAAAGTACACAAGGAAATGTTATTTAGCCCACACATAACACATATGCTAGTCACCCTCAGTAAAATTAATAAGTTGATAGTTTAAAACAAACAGCAAGAAGTACTTCTTCATACAATACTAGGTTTGCCAATTTTGGTTGGACTTATTTGTGGAGGTTTCATTACATGACATAGTTTAATGAAAGATTATTAATTCCTGGAGATTCCAGGACAGTCCTGGGGAGTTGGCAACCCTTTGTAATGCAGAGCCAACCTGTTGCCAGCAAATGATGTGAAGGCCAAGAATATAACAATCTAAAAAAATTAGATAACATCATGGAGTATGGTCCATCAGTGGTTATTAGCCAATATAGCTAGGGAATGCAGGCCCATGCTCTGAGTGTTCCAGTACCTCTATTAGAAGCAGGAAGTGGGTGACAGCGAATGGATCACTCCATAACTTGCCTTGTTCTGTTCACTCCTTCTGGAGCATCTGACACCAGCCACTGGCTAATTCTAGGATACTGGGCAAGATGACCCATTGATCTGACATAGTATGGCTGTAATAATCGTCTTGTATCTAGTGAAATCAAACTTTCCCCATTATTCTCCTTCCCCCATGGAGAAGGAAAGACTTCTGTTGTTATAGTCAGGGTCTGAATCCCTAATACTTACCCATCAAACCCTCATCTAAGATGGAGCTACATTAATCTGTATAATTTTAAAAAGGTATTTTTTATAAAGATGGAGTGATTAGCTTGAACATTACTCCAACACCTTTCTTCATATAGAAGCCACCTCAAAATCTCTCCTCTGTAGGGTTAGGGTTGGGGCTCTGTAGGGACCAGGCAATTGTTTTCACTGCATGAGAGAGGTTTTTTTTTACTGTCCCTCGCCATATGTGTTACATTATTTAGAAGACTAAAGTTTGGATAAATGTAGAGAAATTTGTATCAAGCTACAGTTCAGAGTTCGGTCTTGATCACACTGGCAAGAAAGAATTTGAGCTCTGTAGGAGAAAGAAAGAGCCTGAATCACGGGCCTGGTGCTTGAATCAAAGTAAGTAAGAGTTATACTCTGAGTAAGAGACAGGCCGTGTCAAAAGCAAATGTTTGCCTGCAAGTCAGTGTCTCTCAGCGCTAGAACTGCTAGCAGGGATAGAAGCATGTGAACTATGTAAATACATGCCACCAGGACAGTACAGGGACACCCAGCCGAATACATGATAAAATAGTTGGAAACGACAAGAGTGTAAGCATAACAATGGGCAGAGAATGCTTTGGAGGAAAGTACAGGGGACGTTACCAAATGTGTCATTAGTGCACAGGATGATACGTACGATGTGTATCATAGATTGTTCATCTCTGTCCATAAATTTAGGGTACCTCGAATTAATTATTTGGCCAGCCTTGGGGCGATAATTAAATCCATACTATCGACTGAGCCGGGTCTGTTGTTCCAGGTACAACAACGTACGGGTTCGCAGGCCATCTGGTTACCAACACCTATTAATATACTTCATTCAACAATAAACCTGACTCGGGTGTCTTCGTATCTTATATGAATCTGTGGTCTTTGGGGGCTCTCATGAAGTCTATTATGCTAGCTATCTGCGCAGAGCTGGCATGCTATCCTGAGGGAGCATACGAAAATGCACGCAGCCAAATGTTTATCATCATAGGATGTCACACCAGTGAATCCTGAATTTACTGTATCGCTGTCCTGAACTACTACAAGCTCTAGAGAAGGAGAGCACCATACCCACTTCCAATCTAGTTTAGGATGAAACCTTGTAGCTTTTCATGGTTGTGGAACTGTGTTTTTCCATCCCTGTAGGCAATAAAACCTGTTATAACAAGGATGCTCTTACCCATGGCAAAGTCCAGTGCTAGCATTTGGTGGTTCTTAGAAAAAGATGGGCATTCAGGAGAGAGGGTGTCAGAGTCTTTCTTGGTCACAGACAGGTTGGACTCTTATCGTCATCTGTTTTGTTTTCAGGTCTCTCAGAATTCTGTTTCAGCTAAGAAGAAAGCTGAGAAAGCGTACTGGGTATGATTTCTGTCCTATGTAATATTGTTTTAACACATACTGCGTCTGAAGTAGTTCCTCTGGGAGTGACATTATTTATTACAGGGATGTAAAAATGCATTTGAAAATGCAGCCATGTAACCATAAAAATCTTAGCGGTTACGCGTGCTTGGGGCTGCCCAAGCAAAGCTTCCCCGGGCATGGGACCAGAGCTGCTTTGTTGTGGGCTCTGCAGCTGGCTTCCCGGGAGCCAGCTTGTAACCTGGGGAGGAGGGTGGGTTGGCTGTGCCCACCACAGAGGGTGCTGCTCTGGTGGGCCATGTGGGGCTGGAGCAGCCCCCAGCCCAAGGCGGGCAGGAAGGTATTCCAGCCCTTACTGGTTAACCAGAACCAGGAAGCCTCACCCGTTACAGGTGAGACTTACTGGTTAACTGATTAACCTTTTACATCCCTAATTTATTACTTATCAATCTCAAAAGTGGAAGCCTATACACAGAAACTTGGTTATTGATAATTGATCAGATAACATTTCCTGAGAAGTTGCTTCTCAGTCTTTGTGACTATATTTATGCCCAATACACTTTAGTGTTTCCTAAATCCTGCTGATCTCTAGTCTCATGGGCTTCCCAAATGTAAATGTGAATCAGGAGAACAGACACAGCTATTGCCGTGGATCCCAAATGAGCTAGAATCAATCTCCTTATGACATATCTGATACTCTTAAGTAATGCTATACCTTTGAGGTTAGTAAGATATAGGGCCAAAGTAGATGTCCTTGTGATGAAAGAGCAGATGCTCACATTGCAGAGGTGAGGTGAGATAGAGGTAATACACATCACTCTGATTCAGTGTTACAGGACTGGAGAATAACTGCTCCAAGCAAACAGACATTGAATTCTCAGAGAAAAGAACAGGCCGTTTGAACTGTTCTTCAGCAAAAAACTTCCAGGATTTGTTGCAATAATTTTGAATCTGTCAGGCTGATGGTGCAAGGCATGGCCAATGATAGACTTACAGATGTAACCACATCCTCCTGTCCATGATTGAATCATTTGTTTCAATACTTTTTTCTCTCTGAAAGTCATTGCACATTCCATGGGTATTTCAGGTATGTGACCCTAGTGGCAGACTGGAGGATGGATAAGTTTCTGCCTCTTTCTCTCCACAGTGAGTCCTCGGAGCAAAGTCAAAAGGAAATGGATGCCCAAGTGAAATGTGAAGTCTTGAGCATCCTCAGCAGCGTGGCAGATCTCTCCAATGCTGTCCACTGGTTGCCTCCAGGATTTCTTTGGGCTGGACAGTTTCCTCCATGGCTAGTGGGTCTCATGGGGACTATATCGTCTCTGATTGGTGTCTACCAAACATCCGTAGGGGCAGGTTCTGGGGCTGTGTGACCCATGGTTTCAACTTCAGAAGGCTAAGTATTTTGTGGGTAGAGTCTGAATGCTTCCAGTTATGGATCAGTGTGGCTCAGTCCAACCTGTAATTAGAATGTGATTAGAGGGGCTCTTAATGTAATCAGTTAAGATTAATGTTTTTATGACTTCCTCATCAGAGCAAACATTTTTAACTGTATCCTCTGTGTAAGGAGAAATTGCAGCTGTGATTGCTATGAGGGCAGATGAAATGGTGATTACCATTCAGAGCAAATGGCTTTGAGGTTTTCCAAAAGATGGGAAAAATTGAATTAGGGACAGCAAGTGGCGTCTCATTTTGTCCCCACAGCCACATCCCTGTTGTCTTGAACATGAGACAAGTCTGGAAACTCACTATGGGGTGGGGAACTGGACATAGTTATTGCTTGTGAAGCTCAAAAGAGAGAATCTACAAGCCTTAGATCCAGCTCACCCTCTTTCTCTGATCTGATTACGCATTCCTGTGAGATGCCAGGAAGCTGTAAAGGAGCATGCCAGATACCTATCAGTTTCCAAATTGCCTTTTCCAGTGCCGCCACAGTAAGGGGCACCTGCTCTGAATTGGGTTTTGTTTGCTTGTCCTCTGTCTATGGAAGTTTCTCTCCTGTAAAAAAAAAAAAACAAAAAAAAACCCTGGTCCTAGTCCCCCCAGATCAGAGTTGCTAGCTACAAAATAGAAGCAGGTGTTTAAAGGGTCTGTTTTTGTGACAGTCTCTAGACGGCTCTTTATGGAGCCATGGTAGAAATGGAGACTTTTGTGTGTATTTGGTCAAGTCCATTTTACCTTCAGATGGTGGCACATGGAACATCAGCTGGAGGACGGAGTTTTGCTCTTCTGTCAAGGTCTGTCTCAACCTGATGACTTTCTTTTAAAAACATGATCAAATACATTTTAATAGCCTTTTAATGGCTCAATTGAATGAATGCGAAGATCAGAGCTTGCACCAGAGATTCGTTTTATAATTATTTCCCTGGCAGAGCCAATAATAAAGGAAGTAAGCACTTTGACCAGTAGCCTGAGGACGTGATCGTTATTGTTCAGAGCTAGAGAAAAACATTTCTAATCTCGCTTTTGCTGGTTTCATGCTGCTCCAAAATACCTTGGGTGGAGCTGTACTGTGTTAGCTAAACCTGCCTAAGGACAGGTGCAGCCTATCCCTTATCTAACCTTCCATCACCTCTATGCTGAGAGAGAGATCTTTCGGGGTGTGCTGCACACCTGCTAGTTCTGCGGGGTGCTTACCCTCCTATGTAGTACATTAACAGAATATCAATAAAGTGCACATTAAATGTATTTAAAAACTGGCTGATAGATCTCAGCATAATTAATGGGAAATCCTTATCCATGGGGGAATTTCCATTGGAGCTCACCCAAAGCAATTCAACAGTTTTGTGTGTCAGCTGGAAGTAAATATAAAATCAGTGCAGACGACACAAAGGGTAGCGTAGTGATAAAAAATTCTGAGAATGGGGCACTCACATGGAATGATAAACTGGGCCCAGTCACACAAAATACATACAAATCT